AAATACCATTCTTGCAAAATGCCCAGGAAGAGCACAAGAGCAAGATCCAATCCAATATAAACTCAGTGGCTAAAGAAGCTTGTCTATACCACAGGATGATTTCCATCTGCATCTCACTTCAGCCACCATGAACTTAATCAGTACAGGTTATATGTATGTCACACTGGTGGTGATTGTATTTTGACCTCCATGGCTAATTTAGCCATTATACATTCTAGTTATATAATGCATAGTAAAACAGTAAAAATGCACCATGATTTGTTTGCACAAAAAGTTTCTTGGGGCTTTCAACAAATATTCAGATTGATCTAATGTACTTATTAGAGGTTTGCCGTGTAGTTTTCAAATGTCCACTATCAAACTGGGGGACATACCTAAGTGGGATCTCGCAGGGGTCTGTCCTTGGTTCAGTATTAATTCAATACTTTCATTCATTACTTGAATAAAGGAGTGAAGAGCGTGCTTATCAAATTTGTGGAGGACATCAAAGTAGAAGGGGTTGCAAGAACTTTGGAGGAGGACAAGATTCAAATACTAAATGTCTTGATAAATTGGAGAATTTGTCTAAAGTCAACAAGATGAAATTCAATAAAGACAAATGCAAAGTACTATACTTAGGAAGGAAAAAAAATCAAATGCTCAAACATAAAATGAGGAATAACTGACTAAGTGGTAGTATCACTGAAAAGGATCTGGGGGTTATAGAGGATTGCAAATTGAACAAGAGACTACAATGTGATGCAGCTCCAAAAAAGGAGAATACTCTGGGCTAGAAGTGCCATATGTAAAACATGTGAGGTAACTGTTCTGTTCTACATAGCACTGATGAGGGCCTCACAGCTGGAGTATTATGTCCAGTTTGGGGCATTGCACTTTAAGATAAGGACAAACTGGAGAGTCTCCAGAGGGAAGCAACAAAAGTGATAAAAGGTTTGGAAAACCTATGAGGAAAGGTTAAAAAACTGGGCATGTTTAGTCTTGAGAAAAGACTGAAGGGGGACCCGATAAATCTTCAAATATGTTCAAAGCTGTTATGAAGATTTTGATCAATTGTTCTCCATGTCCACTGATGGTAGGACAAGTAGTAATGGGCTTGATCTGTAGCAAGGGAGATTTAGGGTGGATATGGAAAAAAATAGGGCTGTCGATTAATTGCAGTTAACTCACGCAATTACCTCAAAAAAATTAACTGATTAAAAAAGTTAATTGCGATTAATCACATTGTTAAACAATAGAATACCAATTGAAATTTATTAAATATTTTGGATGTTTTTCTACATTTTCAAATATATTGATTTCTAATACAACACAGAATACAGAGTGTACAGTACTCACTTTATATTAGTTTTTATTACAAATATTTGCACTATAAAAATGACAACAAAAGAACTAGTATTTTTGAATTGGTGGTTGAAGCATGAAAGGACATATGAATCTTTAGCGCATCTAGCATGTAAATATCTTGCGATGCCAGTTACAACAGTGCCATGTGAAAGCCTGTTTTCACTTTCAGTGGATGTTGTAAACAAGAAGCAAGCAGCATTATCTCCTGCAAATGTAACCAAAACTTGTTTGTCTGAGCAACTGGCTGAAGTAGGACCGAGTGGACTTGTAGACTCTAAAGTTTTACATTGTTTTATTTTGGAATGCAGTTATTTTTTGGATGTAAAATTCTACATTTGTTAGTTCAACTTTCATGACAAAGAGACTGCACTACAGTCATGATTCATCATCATCATGTTCTTATTACGCCTTTGGCATTTTGGGCAGTAATGAAGCTCCTCCACTCCTGTCTGTTTCTGACAAGTCTTTCAATGGTTCCCCAGCTGTGCCCCAAGTTTTTCAGCTCGCCTTCCACAGCTCTTTGCCATGTTGTTTTCAGGTGGCCTCGTTTTCGCTTGCCTTCAGGTGTCCATCTTATTGCTACTCTGGTGATTGAATCAATTTCCATCTAAAGCACATGACCGATCCATCTCTAACGCCTCCTGGCAATGATGGTACTCAGATCCTCTTGCTGCACTGTGTCAATAGATCTTGGTTTGAGATTGGTCTGGGCCAAAAGATATGGAGGATTTTTCTGAGGCAGGTTGTATGGAATGAAGACAGTTTGGACATGTCATACTTTAAACACTACTTGATAGTGCAGAATGCTGTGGAATGAGAAAGTACACAGCTCTGATAAATCTCTAGTTTGGTTTTGGTATTGTATTTTGATGCTTTCCAGACTGTATTTAAACTCCTGAAGATGTTCCTGGCTTTATTGATTTTGTTCTGGATTGATTTTGTCCTGGCTGATGGGGCTGCCCAAGTATGTGAATGTTTCTAAATTGGTGAGAACATAATCCTCTATCCATACTAGTGATGGTGAGGCAATATTAAAGGTCATGATATCAGCTGATTTTCAGTCTAATTTGCTGGCTGAATGCATTGAGTCAAGTTGTTTTTTCTTGTATATGGTGTTGGGTATGTGCTAGGAGAGCGACATCATCTGCGAAATCCAAGTCTTCAAGGGATGAGAAGAGTGTCCATTTAATGCCCCCTGACATGTCTTCTGTTGTACGCCACATTACCCAGTTGATGGCAATGTTGAAGAGGATTGCAGACATGACACCCCGATGTAATCCTGTTTTGACTTCAAAACTGAGCTCACTGTGATCAACACTGCATGTAAAGTTGAAATAGAAGCTTCTGATGACAATTATACAGAAAGGAATTCTATATGCTCGCAGAATGTGCCATAGGCTGGTCCTGTGAATGCTATCAAAAGCCTTCTCAAAGTCTATGAAATTTATGTAGAGTTGCCATTGCCATTCTAAGCACTGTTCTATAATGTTTCATAGAGTGAAGATCTGGTCTGTGCATCCACACCCTTTCTGAAAACCAACTTGCTCTTTTCTGAGAACGCTATCAACTGCCACTGGACTATGATCTTACACAGTACTTTGCTTGGGACAGATAAAAGTATGATACCACGCCAGTTATTACAATCACTGAGAGTTCCTTTCTTTGGTAACTTCACTATAACCCCATTGGTCCACTCACCTGGCACTTTTTCCCTTTCCCAGACTGACTTAAATGGAGGGGCCAGGATAGATGCTGCTAATTTAGGATTTATCTTGAACAATTCTGCATTCAAGTTATCCTTGTCAGCTTTCCCTTTTTTTTATTTTATTTATATATATATATATATATATATATATATATATATATATATATATATATATATATATATATAAATAAATAAATAAATAAATAAAGGGTATATAATTTTTAAGGGTATATACTATTTATTTTTTTTTACAGTGCAAATATTTGTAATCAAAAATAAATATAAAGTGAGCACTGTACACTTTGTATTGTGTTGTAATTGAAATCAATATTTTGAAAATGTAGAAAACATCCAAAAATAAATGGTATTCTATTAACAGTGCAATTAATCATGCAATTAATTGCTATTAATTTTTTTAAATCACTTGACAGTCCTAGAAAAAACACAAAAAACTAACAAAGAATAGCTAACTACCGAAACAGGTTATCAAGGTAGGCTGCAGAACCCATGCCATTAGAGGTTTTTAAGAAAAGATTAGACATACTGTTGGTCAGGGATAGTCTAAATATATTTGCTGTAGCCCAAGTGCAGTGGGCTGAACTAAGTGACCTCTCCAAGTCCTTTTCAGCCCTACATTTCCATGATTATCTTTGCACAGTCCAATGGTTAGGGCACTAGCCTGGGACTTAGGAGATCTATTCCACAGCATAACTAGAGACTTCTTGGATGATGTCCCGTAAGGCAACTAAATCAGTTACTCAGTTCTCCATCTGTAAAATTAGCACTTCCCTGTCTCACAAGGGTGCTGTAAGTATACAGTAGAGCCTCAGAATTATGAATACCAGAGTTACGAGCTGATCGGTCAACCACACACCTCATGTGGAACCAGAAATACGCAATCAGGCAGCAGAGACCAAAAAAAGCAAATATTGTATAGTACAGTGCTGTGTTAAACTACTCAAAAATAATGGGAAAGTTTAAAAAAATATTTGACAAGGTAAGAAAACTGTTTCTGCGCTTGTTTCATTTAAATCAAGGTGGTTAAAAGCAGCATTTTTCTTCTGCATAATGAAGTTTCAAACTATATTAGGTCAATGTTCAGTAGTTAACTTTTGAAAGATCATTTTGTTCAGAGCCACAAAACTTTTCAGAATTACGAACAACCTCCATTCCCAAGGTGTTCGTAACTCTGAGGTTCTACTGTAAATACATTAAAGACTGTGAGGCACCAAGACTCCATGGCAATGGAATCCATATAAGTAGGAGGATAGACCAATTTCCCAATTAACTTTTCAACAGTTGAAAACATTTCTAGCTATCCTCTGCTCACAGTCCCATAATTACTCTTTCAATAGTATGGTATCATTTTGAATGTTGATTTTAAGCAAAACCTCCCCCATGCAAGGCAAAGTTTAGGCTTAGTAAAGCTGTAACACACCATTAACCCTTTACTGTGACTATTATTGCTACACCCACCAGTGACTGCTAACACAAGAGCAACACTCAGATTCTTTATCAAAATTCCCGACTGACTAGATAGTGGCTTCAATATACAAAAGAGATTAGCAGTCACTTTAGAAACAGCTTTTTAAAGTTTTATAAAAATGCATTAATGGAAAGAGGTTAAACAGGCCCTCTCCTACAGCCTTCTGCTTCTTTCATTTTCAACATAGGGATTTAAGATTTCCACTGGTCCCATAAGGATTTTAAATCCAGTGTCTTGACAGATGATAGTTAGAGTAAAATTTACAAAAAGGCAGCAGTCCAATATTTATAGGTCAATGACAACCAACCAATGAGTTTACCCAACATTTGGGGCATGGGGGGAGAAACCACAATCATACACAAGTACAAGATTATGGCATTGCAACTGAAAAGAGCTCAGTGTTCTCAGTCTTATTTGGCAATCTCCTCGTTGCATCGTGTATTTCACTTGCACCACATTTCTTACCTGGATACTATGCTGGAGCCATTATAGAGATCGCTAGCATAAGACAGCGTTGCCAAAGGTCGGACAGAATTGTAGCGAGTGAACTTGGATAGGCACTCCTGAAATTCATCCAGCTGGCTTGTGGTTCTGCTGTCATCTAGACAAAGGTAGCAGAATTGTTGATGGAACAGAAAGAATGAGAGGAGGTAATTAAAGTTTAACAGTAAACAAAAAATCTGAAGGCCTAAGTAGTCACATGACATTTCCTAGGCAAAGCATCTGGGGATGAAAACTTGTCAACAAACATATCAACTGACTTTTCACTTCAGCATACACCTCTGAATACTAATTCACTTTAGTGGAAAATAAGTCTTTATAATACCACGTTACGAGAGACTACAGTAAAAGCTTTTTTATCCAGCATATTGGGGAAATGGGGGGGTGCCGGTAAGTGAAAAATTCTGGTTAACTAAGGGAGAGAGTTTGGATGAGGGAGGGGCTCAGGGCAGGGAGTGCAGAGGGGTTTTGGGATGCCAGATCCAGGGGGCACTCACCTCAGGTGGCTCCCCGCAAGCAGCGCCCTGTCCCTGCTGCTCCTAGGCAGAAGCGTGGTTCCCAGCCAATGAGAGCTGCAGAGCAGCACTTGGGGCGGAGGCAGCACATAGAGCCACCTGTCACGCTTCTGCCTAGAAGCAGCAGGGAGAGGTCGCCACTTGTGGGGAGTTGCCTGAAGTGAGCACCCCCCATATCCGGGATGCCTAAATCGCTCCCACGCCCCATCCCCCCTGCCCTGAGCCCCCTCCCATACCCAAACTCCCTCCCAGAGCCTGCGCTCCGCACCCACTCCTGCACTCAGAGCTCCTCATGGCCGTTCTTCCGCCTAAGAGCAACAGGGACATGTTGCGACTTCTGGGCAGCCACATGGAACCAGGTAGGGAGCCTGCCGGCCCCACGCCGATCAGACTATAAACCGGACTTTCTAAGAAGATTAGAAATGCCGGTTTATAGAGCCTTCCAGTTGGTACAGGGCTGGATAACACAGCTTTTACTGTATTATATTTCTTCTATCAAGAACCATGAATATGCCTTCCCTTGTGTAAAAGTCCACCAACTTAACATTAAGGCAGAAGTGCTTGGCGATGAGGACTACCATTATTTAAAACAAAAACTGATGCAAGTGTAAGCAAACCTATATACCATCAAGAATATGTACAGTTACAATATGCTATAGAGGTAAACACATTTACCTTTCTCCATCTCCCAATGCAATATGCTCTAAAGAGATAGTCTATTACACCAAAGGAATGATTATGGAAAAATTTCACTCTCACTCCAAAAGCAAGAGGGCTAATAGGGGGGTGGGGTGGGGTGGGGTGGGAAAACCCACAAAATAGAGATGCTATCTTACAAACTCAATGCAAAATGATGTCCTTCTGTAGTCAAGCGAAAAATCAAATCAACTTGAAATACAGTTACATGAGAAATATTTGTTGAAAAATTGAAAGTGGCAACTAAAGAAGTTAATAAAATACAGTAAGCAATAAAAAAAGACTAACATCCAAATTTCTCCTGAGTCACAACTTTAATCACTATGAATAGAGGTGTTTAATCATTTTGTTGTTAAGATTTCCCATAGAAGAAAACACTTTTATTGAGGTGCCACACAGATGAGCTAGCCTTCATAAAATGATCAAGTACCAGAAACCATCAGGCTGGGATTATAGCCTTCAGGTTTGTAATACTCAGACTTGGTAAGAATTATACTTTGCCTTCTCAAACAGGCCCAAGAGGAGGAAGCTCACTTTTGCATTGTGCATCAAAGTGATGTACCAACAATTTCAACTACTGAGTAACAACCATCACCACCCTTATACCCATAACATGTCAGCCCAAAGCTGTTTACAAACAATCCAGTATGCTGGCACATACCATACACTTCACCCACCACTCAAATATAGTAACATTTGGGGTGGCGTGCAGCAGGTATTAGTAGTACGTACCAACACTACACTTAGAGATGAGAATAAAAATTTCATGAACCATTAAAAAGTTACAGCTCAGTGGTGTAAAGGGAAAGGGTAGCTCACCTTAGCAGAACTTTCTGAATGTTTTGTGGGAGTGAACAGAGCAAGGACAGCATAATACTGATTCCCCATGGAAAAGTACCGGAAGGAAAAAAAAAAAAAACTTTCTGCACTCTCCCAAATTCCTGTCCCTCAAATATCAAGACAGACCATTTCAATCAGAGATCTACATCCCAGCTGCATTTTAAAATATAGTCAGTAAATAAGAATGACATTTTAATGTCTGTATTAAAAAGGGGAGAAGGCAACAGGTTAGTAGAGCCCAGAGTGGATACAAAGTTTGTATCTGCATCCAATTGGTAAAAGTGATCCACTGATATCCGTGGATATAAAGTGGATAGCCATAGGGCTCTAGATACAAAATTCATATCTGCATCTGATCCGTGATCTGCAAAAATGGTCTGGATATCCGTAGATTTCCAGGGCTCTCCTAGTTGAAGGGATTGGCTATGTGTCTCTCATGTCCTTCACAGTTGCTCTTTTCACTATGATTGAAGTCCCACTTTAAATAAAAAAACGGCCAGCACCAGACTTTTTTTGTGGGGGAAATCTACTGGAGGGGAGGAGGTTTGGGAAGAAAGCAGCAGGTGAACACCAGTGGGTGTCTTCAAAAAGATGTCTTGATGTAAGTGTCAGTCAATGGTGAAAGCAAAGAAGGAGCTATTCTTCCATTTCCCTCTAATCTAGAGATCATGTACCTCCTTCTTCCCTAAGGTTTCAGAGTAACAGCCGTGTTAGTCTGTATTCGCAAAAAGAAAAAGGAGTACTTGTGGCACCTTAGAGACTAACCAATTTATTTGAGCATGAGCTTTCGTGAGCTACCGCTCACTTCATCAGATGCATACCGTGGAAACTGCAGAAGACATTATATACACACAGAGACCATGAAACAATACATCCTCCCACCCCACTGTCCTGCTGGTAATAGCTTATCTAAAGTGATCATCAAGTTGGGCAATTTCCAGCACAAATCCAGGTTCTCTCACCCTCCGCCCCCCCCCCCCACACACACACTCACTCTCCCGCTGGCAACAGCCCATCCAAAGCGACCACCCTCCCCACAATGCGCACGACAATCAAGGTGGGCCACCTCCTGCACAAATCCAGGTTCTCTCACACCCCCCACCCCCCACCAAAAACCACACACACAAACTCACTCTCCCGCTGGCAACAGCTCATCCAAAGTGACCACTCTCCCTACAATGTGCATGATAATCAAGGTGAGCCATTTCCAGCACAAATCCAGGTTCTCTCCCCCTCCCACCCCCATACACACACAAACTAACTCTCCTGCTGGTAATAGCTTATCTAAAGTGATCATCAAGTTGGGCCGTGATCACTTTAGATAAGCTATTACCAGCAGGAGAGTGAGTTTGTGTGTGTGGTTTTTGGAGGGGGGTGAGGGAGTGAGAGAACCTGGATTTGTGCAGGAAATGGCCCACCTTGATTATCATACACATTGTGAAGAGAGTGGTCACTTTGGATGGGCTATTACCAGCAGGAGAGTGAGTTTGTGTGAGGGGGGAAGGAGGGTGAGAAAACCTGGATTTGTGCTGGAAATGGCCCAACTTGATGATCACTTTAGATAAGCTATTACCAGCAGGACAGTGGGGTGGGAAGAGATATTGTTTCATGGTCTCTGTGTATATAATGTCTTCTGCAGTTTCCATGGTATGCATCCGATGAAGTGAGCTGTAGCTCACGAAAGCTCATGCTCAAATAAATTGGTTAGTCTCTAAGGTGCCACAAGTACTCTTTTTCTTCTCTAATGTATTCTACACCCATGCTTGCAAATTGGGATGCTACTTTTCACGATGTTTCCCCTGTCAAAGTGAAAGGCACTTCATAATTAGTTATTTTTCTCCCGACTTCTGCCTACAGGACAGTCAAATCTCTTGCCCAAATCTTCTCTATTCATTTTAAATTACAGTTTTTACACCATCTCTTTATACTAAAGATAATTTTTTTTTTTTTTTTTTAAAAAGGAACCCCTGGGATCAGAGAATCAGCAAGTTATCTTACTCTGCTGTTCCTTATCATATGGGAAAAAGCACTGCAGCATAGACACTTCTACTATTCCAAGTCTCCCCACAAAGAACATTATCTCCTCATGCCAGTTCCACAGCTGGCTCAGATACCAGTCATGGCTCTGACCCAAGCACTCCATGTCGCCAACTATTTTAATTTCCATAGGGAGTCATGCACCTCACACATCCCTCTGTCATCAGCCGAAATTCACATCAGACTTATCAGACAGCTGAAATTCCCAGGCAGACTCCTGCAGGGCACTAGTTCTGTTTTTTCTTAAACTGGAGCAGCAATAGAAGCTAGACAGGGTGGATAAAAATCAATGATTTATTTAAAAAATAAAAAAGATTTTATTTAAAATTGGATTTTTTTGATAAAATGCTTTTTGAGGGGGAAAAAAATCTAAAGATAGTTTTAATTCAGATATCTTTGAGCTAGAATGTATCTTATGGAATAGGGATTATAAATGCTAATTCTACAGTATGAGAATATATTCATGTAATGTTTAAGAAAAGTTTTGTAAATGAGTTCTAATAGTTCATGGATTAGGGACCCAATCTTATAGGTTTCCAGGGGCTTCTGTATAGATTTAGTTTAATCTTTCTGTCTACCCACTGGGACTCGGTGCTCAGTCTAGAACAGTGGTTCTTAACCTTTACAGCAGCCTGCACCCCTTTGGTTCTCAAAATATGTTCTTGCACTTATCAAAAATCATTGAAATAGGTCAGTTCTTTAAACGTAGATATGTTTGTATATTAAAGTAATCATTAAATGTATACTGTTAATAAATACATAGGTTGGATTAAACAAAGTAGCTGTACTTACGGCAAGTTGTGCTTAAACTGTGTTTTTGATGTTTTATCTTTTAAAAAAAATCTGGCATGTCTCGCACTCCCCAGAAAGGGCATCTTGCACCCCCAGGGGATGTGTGCATCTCAGGTTAAGAACCACTGGTCTAGAAGATACCATCAAAGATGCTTAGTTTTGCAGTTCTCAAACCATAGATGTGTTTCTTCAGGGATAACATGCTTGTTAATAGTAAAAA